ACACAGTCAAATTGCCTGACTAGAACACTGTTTTACCACAATCCCCTTGAGATCTTCCATGAAGACTTGGAGAGATGTGCAAAGAGAGAAAAGGAGGGTGAAGGTTAACTATAAATATCCAGAGTATAGTTGTTCTGGGCTAACCTGTAGGCATCAAGAAGCTTGGACAGAGGTTCATCTTCTCAGTTTTTCTCCAAACCAGTTTGTTATCTAGTAGGAATTCTGTTTGTCTTTAGTACAATCAATAGGGTAGCATAATGAAAAATGACCCCAGATACATAGTTGCCCTGGGCCAGACACCCAGCAGCAGCATATGGAATGAGTAAGAGAATATGTAATGTATGTGCCAGAGCTATTATAACCACATTACTGTCTACTACAATAAGGACACCCAGTTTTCTTATTCTTCTGTGCTTCCCCTATTGTTCTGTGACTTTTGAACTAATGTAGTTTTTCTTGGACTGCCATTTTCTCATAAGATGTGAATTTTGACGATGTAAAATTATGCCATTTTAATTTAAGAACATATTATAACTAATCCCGCCAAGTGCAGAAGTAGGTATGAATACAGGAAAGAGCAAAAGATGCCACCATTACTACAAATGCAGAGCTGAAGTGAAGGGAGGTGTGCTTTTCCCAAAAGCAGTTTGTTTCTCTCATATCTCCTGGTTTGAAAGGATTGAAATATGCTCACACTCTTTTCACTTCTTGACTCATTTATCTACCCAGCAATGCTCTGATTTTATGCATGCAGAAGCTCTTTAGAGTGCAGCTCAATCTGGAATAATCTGTAAGTGAAATAATGATTTTATTTCTATAGTTGCATTTGCTTTTGGGGATAACTTTGCTCGGTGATTTCTTTTCTCCACACTTCTGGCTGACCATTCAAACCAGTAGAAGTGTACTAAAACTTGTGGAGTGTACATGAGGTGTTTGCACAGTGATGGTGCCTGCAAGAGCAGAGATCATTGATCCTGGGTAGCTCACTGACAGCTGTATTAAATTAGACATATGACAAACATGTTTGAGCTTTACAGCAACGGTTTCAGCACTTACGTTCTCTATACAAAGAAAGCTATTGTGCTTAGACATATTTGTTTAAATTTGAAAAAACTTTGAGTGTCCAGTAGGAAACATTTCAACTCTCAGATAAGGCAGCTATGCAAAATTATGAATAATACAATAGTTCATTATTCTGAGGTAGTTACATCAAAATCAGATTTTTATATATAGTAATGCAGTGGGAAATATATTAAAGTATTTTGTCTTCAAGTAAGGCAGTTCTCTTTTTATTACTTTCTGACACTCTTGTATAGTGCAATTACTCAGGAAGTGCTGTGCCCATCAGGGGGTAGCTTTAAACAATGATACAATCCAGATGAAGAGATGCTTAAAAGAAAAAAAGAACAGGAAGGGAGGGATCTGGGAGAGAGCCCAATTTTTCACCAAGGTACTGAAGTGGACAAGATGAGTCTATCACTACAAGTGGAAAACGGGGATGTCAAACTAGTTTAGGCTCTTCTTGAGTATTTTCTTATCCTTAAGTGAAAAAAATCATCTATTATTGAATTTGCTTTTTTTTTTTTTTTTTTTTTTTGCAACAGGTTCTCATGATGACCTGAGAAGATATCGTTTTATAATGTCTCCTTTTAAAATTTGTTTCTATATAATAAACATATTGACTTAATTTTTAATCTTACATGTGACCACATGTTCTTTTAACCTAACTGCTGGCTGCCCTGCTTACACATTTGATACTAGATGCATTAATGGAAACAGAAATATATTTTCAGATTTGAGCTTGTAAAAGAAATAATTTAATATCATTATGTTTATAAATGCATACTGGGATTAAACATATTTGTTCACTAGTGCTGTGAAATAGTTAATAATAAATTACTTCCTCAAGTCATTTATTACTATAAATGTCATATATCATTATAAATGACTGCCTTCAAGCCGGTAGACTCATATTAATAACTTAATTTTTATATTGAAATACAGTAAATTGTCATTTTTAATTAATACAATTGTGTCTGTGTGAAATGCAAGCAGATGTTAGTGTTTAACTGTTAAAGACTGAAGAATTTCAGATAACAGTTGAAATATAACTGATGCATGAGCATTTTCTAGTGTTTTGGATGACGAATCCAACAGCAAAGTTTCAAACTGAATGCCAAAGCTTCAGTAACTGAATTATTTGTCTGTATTGGCAAGAGCAATACGTACTGGTGCCCTTGATACATAAAAAGTAGACACATACAACTCTTGGAACTTTGTAAACATTACTTTAGAAGCTACGAATACGCTTTCTAAAAAATGATCAGAGTAATTTTTTGTTGGGAGCCAATAAAATTTATATTCTATATAATAAAATTTTCCTGTAACTCAATTAAAAATGTGTGACTAGATTTTGGAACTCAAAACTTTATTCTTCTCTTTAAAACTGGATTAAATATATATTAATATTAATGAAAATTTTGAAGATATATATATATTTAGAATACTAGGTAGGACCCAGGAAGTTTTGCAAGCTTTTTCTTTAAAAAAATAAAGAGAATACATTCTTACCCGAACCAGTTAGGAATCTTTAATTTCATAAGAAAACTTCCTATAATGGTTGATCATATATTTTAAATACTTTGACTTTATTTACTATTAGCAGTGTTCATTTTCCAGGCACAAACAAATGGTTTTCTGGGCATTGCTGACTTGCTCAGTGAATGCTTCCATGTGTATTTCATGACAATAACAAAAGAAATCTCAGTTATCACAGCATATACAGCAAAACAATAATTGTTGGTCTTATTTTCATAAGTCAACTTCAAATATGTGTTTAAAATTCAGAATATATTAGAATTATTTACTGGATGAAGGTTAAAGTGTTTCAGAGATTTTAGGGTTACCTCCAGATCTATTACCTCCAGATCTATTTGTACTTAAGGCACCTATATTATTTTAGAGTAGAACCTGATTTTGTAAACACTTAAGGTTATGTATATTTTTCTTGGATACACTTTTGTTGTTATGTCAGTGGGATGATTTGTTTGTAAAAGTAGTCATCTCTTTTTGCAATGACAGGATTCAAATAATTTTCCAGAAAAGCATATATAGTTCACTGCTCATGTTAACATTTATAGAATACACAGAGCAAATAATGTGAAAAAACAATATCTTGGTTTTTATTTGACTATTTCAAATGAGGTGCTTTTCCATTCCTCTCCATCTGACCTGAGAACCTGAATTTTCACATTATATAAAACATGAAAATTTCCACATTAAAAAAAAAAAATTCCGGTTAAGTTAAAACAAACTAATCATAAATAAAACAGTGCAGGTAAGCACAAAGTGTCTCATGACCGCTGTGCATTGCATCACAAGAAACTGGGCTTTAGACATAGCAATTTTCCATCCTGGCCACAATTCAGGTCTGTAACTTTCCTTGAAGGTTCAATGACAAAAATGTTGTTTGACTAGGGTTGTTTTTCAGGCAATAAAAATAAGTTTCCAATCTTCTTGATTAAAACATAAGAGACATTAGACAAGGTAAATTCCTGAGAGCAATGTTTCTGATAAGCTCAAGAGCAGCTTAGCTGTGGTGCTGTTCATCAAGGCCTAATGAGTACTTCTGACAACATAGTGCAGTGGGGGAAAGCTGTACCACCACAGATGCTACTCTACACATAGTTGTAGGAATTGGGAGCCCTGCTTTCTTCACTCTGACTTTCTGAGTATTGTACAGATTTCAGTACAAAACTGACAGTGGAGGCAGGGAGAAGAGGCTAAGCAAGGAGAGTGACAGGCTGGCTGGGAGGGCACAGCTCTCAGTGGTGTGGCAGGGTGTCAGCTGTCATTCCATGTAACCAGTTGATGTGTGGATTCGGGGATTATTTTTACTAGACTAGCTTTTACTTGGCAAGTAATTAGGGAGTTTATTGTGATGCTGCTTAAGGTTACCAGAAGCTGTGCAGGAAGGGCAATTTTAAACCAGTGGTGGATTCATCATGTGGGGAACTGCACTCAGAGGAAAAACCCAAGGGTGGCCTGCCTGGGATGAGCAGAAGATGTCACAATAGGGAAATGTGGAACACAAATCGTGTTTTATTTTTATTAAAGCTGTAGAATGACACAGGGCATGAGGCAAAGGTCATAGAATCACATAATGTTAAGGACTGGACCTTAAAGAACGTCTGGTTCCAAACCCTCTTCCATGGGGCAGAGACACATCACACAAGACCAGGTCGCTCAAGGCCTTATTCAACGTGGCCTTGATCACGTGGGTGGGACATCACCTACAGCCTCCCCGAGTAACTGTTGCAGTGTCTCACCGCTCCCACACAGAATTTCTTTCTAATATCTAACCTAACTTTCCCTTCTTTCAATTTGTGCCCATTATTCCTTGTCCTATCACTACAATTCCTGGCAAAGAGCCCCTCTCCGGCTCCCCTGTAGGCTCGGGAGATTGATGCATGCTGTTGACGGGGCGCCCTTCATAGACTAATGAAATATTCTGAGTTGGAAGAGATCCACAAGGATTATCTAGTCCACCTGTTAGCCCTGCACAGCACATTCCCAGTAACCACACTATGTGCCTTTCTTGGTCACAAGAGCTGCTGGCAGGCGGGGGAGCAGGACGACTGCTCTTAAGCTGCTCTACTGTGCACATGGGAGCCGCATGAGCAGGCAGCAGGTAGATAAAGCTATTACATTAACGCTCCAGAACAGCTAGGCCACCATCTGGCGCCGCAGGGCAGCGCGCGTGTGTGCGAGTGTGGCAAGCCAGGCAGGGCCCAAGGTGAGGCCCGCACTACGGCCCGGCCGGGCCTGGCCCCGCCCGGCACCCCGTGCGCGCGCCCGCGTTGAGGGGCGGGGCTGAGGGGGCGGGGCGAGCGGGCTGCGGCCGCGCGGCACCCCCGCCCCCTCCAGCGAGCCGGTGCCGCCGTGACGCCGCCGTGGCCGCGCAGGCGCAGCAGCGCCCACAGCGCCTGTTGTATCCGGCCGGCGCCTTTTCTCCGCTCCCCGCCTCCTCCTCCTCCTCCCCGGCCGCTCGTCCCGCCCGCCCAAAGCCACCGTCGCGTCTGCCGTGCGCGGCCTCCCCTCCCTCCCCGCGGTGAACCCGGCCGGCAACACGTCTGATCTCCCCCGTGCGCCCCATGAAGCGATGGCAGCGGCCAACTTCGGCAAGATCCAGATAGGGATCTACGTGGAGATCAAGCGCAGTGATGGTGAGCGGCCCGGAGGGGCGGCGGCCCCGGCCACCCTCCCCCCCCCGTTCCCCGCATCCCGGCCGGGCGATGCCGCGAGCGCGGGGCCCGGGGCGCGGGCGGGGCCGCGCGCGC